AGGCAAACATGTAGCATTAACACAGTATGAACAACATCCAGGAATTGTTTCTATAAGAACATTATCAAATAGTTTACGTGAATGGTAAGATCGCTTTGCGCCCGAGGAAACGTAACCCCGGGTGAGCTAACCTCGGACAAACAAGCAAACAAAGATAGCTGTAATGGTGGAGGTAGTGAAACTCACGGCGTTGCTTGAGGCATTTAGTGAGGCATTGCTGCCTTATCAGCCAACATTAAGAAAAAGAAGACAGGCAAAAATAAAATAAAAAATTCTAAGCTATGGATAACTTCAGATAGTTACTGCAGTGGATGTTTTCATGCCGCAGAATGACACAGGGCAAGAACTCACAGTGAAATTCAGTATGTAAGAGTGTAAAGTTTACATTACACAACCAATGAAACACTTTGTACAAAATCAGTTTGGTTTTAACTCATCATATCAAACAAAGACTAAACTTGTGCGATCAGAAGTTACAACATATATCTACATTTAAAACACACAAAAAGCAAAGCACAACTAGCTTTAAGCATTAACCTTAAATTCAACCATTAAGTGTACAATGTAATTATGACAAATAAGGAAGGATTTACCTGCAGTTACCTTCGTACAGATGTGGTACTTCCTGTTTATCACTGGGGGGCTGGCCGCTGGCCTTTATCATCTTTTACATTTTCCTAAACTTTGTTTAGTTTTTGAAATGGAATAAACCATATTCCACCCACTAAATGCTCAGGGTAACACACATCTGAATTACAAGTCACAATTTCTCATCTATTCATTTTCACTAATTGATTATTCATATGTATTGGCTATGTTCATATAACAACAAATATATTCTTAATCTCAACAGGACTTTACCTGGTAGAATAAAGGTAAAATAAAATAATATAATACAAAGATTTTAATATTCAGACAATTTATTATTGGAGTTTATGAAGGGTACACATAATCTGAATTCCTGGACATTTCAGCATTAAACTTTTTTTTTCAGATTCTATTCGTTAACCATATTCTAAGACTTGCAATATCCTTTGTAAAAATTTAAAACATTTGTTCTATTAAGTTTTACCCACTTAGGTCCCTCAAAATCCCTCAAATCAGAATAAATGTACAACTGCCATCAAAGCCGCAAAATGTAACTTCTTATCTCAGACCTCCAAAAATCTAAATGATCCTAAAAGATTCTGGAAAACCATCAAATCTCTCTCAGGCAGCTCCCACTCATCTGACCTCCCATCTCAACTTCTCATTAACTCTGTTCCTGTGTCAAATAAGCACGAGATCCTGAACTGTTTCAACAAACATTTTGTTGCTTCTAGTTCTTTATTTGACAGTTACTAATGGAAAATCAGCCATTTCTCCTAAAAATCAAACATCTACAAATCAAATCTCTCCTACAAGTTAATCTTCAGTAAATCACACCTTTTCTCTTTCCCCGTTCTTAGTCTGTGAGTAAATAATGTGTTAAAATGTCTAGACTCTAAAAAATCTGCAGGACCAGATGAACTTCCTTCTTATTTCTTAAGGCTGGCTGCTCATATCATCACAGTCCCTGTGACCCACATCTTTAACCTTTCCATAAGACAAAACTCCATTCCAAACGTTTGGAAAACAGCCTTTGTTCTTCCTTTGCTGAAGGGAGGAGACCCCACCTCACTGAACAACTATCGACCAATCTCTAAACTGAATTTTAGCCAAGGTTCTAGAAAAACTGATAAACTCTCAAATCAAAAATTACCTGGACTCATTTAACATCTTACCTCTCCATCAATCTGGTTTCAGGAAACAACACAGCACAACGACTGCTTCACTGAAGGTTTTTAATGACGCTGTTGAAGCACTGGATGCTAAGGATTATTGTGCTGCACTTTTCTTAGACCTGTCTAAAGCTTTTGACACTGTGGATCATAACATCTTGTGTCATAAACTCTCAGAAATCTGTTTCTCAGAACACACCATTGGTTGGTTCTCTAACTATCTTTCAGACCGGAGGCAATGTGTTCAACATAATGGTACTTCCTCCAGTTATTTAACAGTCAACAATGGTGTACCACAAAGCTCAGTATTAGGACCCACCCTCTTTACAATCTACATAGGTAATGTAGGTCAGAGCATCACTGATGCATCCTTAAGCCTCCAGTATACTCTGGCATACATCAGCCTGCGGAGGTCCGCGCATATCGGATTCGAGTCGAAACGGACGCCCGCAGGGCATGTCCGTGCAAAGCTAAATTTTTACGACCGCGTACGTGTACTCTGTGTCGCACAATAAACTGCCCGGTGACAGACTGTTTTGTATGCAACACCAATATATTAAAATTCCCTTCATCCCTGATCTGGTTTAATGGCCTTTTGTCTCGTTTTTTTTTTTTTTTCTAAGAATCAAGTGATGTCTTCCTCCTCCATTGACTCCATGACTGAAATTGTGAGAAATTAAGGAAATTATTGTCACGAGCGAATTAAAATCATGTTCAGCGTGGCTGCGGGAGAGTCTGGAGACTTCCTGGTGGGCTGGTCTGATGTGTGGGCTGCAGGGTCAGCGCTCCCTGTTTTTTATTTAATTTTTTAGAACTTTTTATTAACAACATATAAACACAGAACATCGCTGTGGTTGGGGTTGCCTGCCAGCTCTCGTTTTTTTTTTTTTTTTTTTGCGACTTGTCAATCAATCAAGTAGGCGTGTCAGCAAATGACCAATCGACGACCTCAATTTGTCCCAAATGTAAATGCCCCTTGCCTGCGGAGCTGGTCTGCAGCCACTCAGGGTGGACACTCGAGTATGAAGTCTCAACCCTCTGCAGACAGTGCGCAACGAGTCCGCGTGGATAAAGGTCCATGCAAGTATACTGGACCCTTTACACTTCTGTGCTGATGACACCGTTGTTTATTGTCGAGCTAAAACAGTTGCCAAGGTTCTCCAGCTTTTGCAGTCGGCTTTTGACATCATCCGGTCAGATTTGTTCTGTCTCAAACTTGTCCTAAATGCTGACAAAACCAAAGGGATGTTGTTTTCAAACAAGAAGTTGGTCCCAGCAGTTCTTCCTTCGATTTTATCCTCGAATGGTGTCCCTATTGAGTCGATTCCTACAAATATTTGGGTACCTCGGTCGACTCACATCTCTCTTTTAAGCTTCATGTGGAAAACTTGGTAAGAAAACTGAAAGTTAAACTGGGTTTTGTTTTCAGAAATAGATCCTGTTTAACTCCGAGTGCTAGGAAACGCCTTGTAACTGCAAATTTTCTTCCTTCCATTGACTACGGTGACATTATAACAAGAGCTTTAACAGACTACTCGAGTAATCTACACAACGATTCCTAGGACATCTATTGAGTTTTTTAATTTCACGTAGCTTATTCGTGGTGACATCATTATGTCGCCATTACGTCATTGCATCACGTGTCACGTAATCCGCACTGGGCGCGGGATACAAAATGGATTCCTCCAAGCAGACAGATGGAGCGGAGCAGGCACAGTCTTGCTAAACGGGTAGAAATGCATCAATAGTTTAGAAATATTTCACTAAAGATTAATCTTCCGGTTCAACAACCGTAAGGAAACAGAAAATGAATCAACTTCCTGACTGTTTGGAGCTCGTTGCGAACTGGTGTTGCACCATATTCTGTAACCACCGTATATTGTGACTGTAGGGGGCGGTGTTGCATGCACTGTTGCAGGTCACAGAATATGGTGTAACACCGGGTCCAATGACCGAACCAGAACCAGCTTCCTCTGACCTTGTTTCACAAACAAAAAGCAAAAAATATTCATCTTTAAACCTATAAAAAAACCTATAAACATATTAATCTATAAAACTAAACCTAATGCGCACCACAGCTGGCGATTTTTTGTTTCATTTTTGACGTGTTGCACGTTTCATTCACTTTTGCAACTTAATAATAACTAATAGTTTTGGTTTTCCTGTGACTTATTTGCAGTATGATAAATGGTAGGAGCATAATATACTCTCCCAATGTTTTGTTGGTCTTTGTTTTTTGTTTTTTTTTAAATAATGACCTTTTTTTGCGGTTTTATTTATTTATTTATTTTTGTATCTTTAGATCCTATGATGTCATCAAGTACTTGAATTCTACTCGAGTTTTATTATGTTAATGTCGAGTGTAAAAATTATGTAGACATTCAACCCATAATTATAGCGCTCCTACAAGCACCCTGCAGATGTTGGCCGTTGCCTATCACGGTGCGCTAAGATTCATAACTGGTTGTAACTACTGTACCCACCACTGCACCCTGTATTCACTGGTTAACTGGTCGTCATTAACTTCACACAGACTCTCACTGGTACATTTTCATCTTTAAATCACTTCTTGGGCTGTTGCCTTCGTACATCTCCTCCTACATGTCACATGCATTGCAAAATACTCACTTTGAACATGCTCATTAATAATTGTAAATGTCAAAATGTCAACGTTGGCAGGCAGGCACAGTATACAATATGCTGCTGAGCCTTGGCGCCTCCTTCCCCTGGCACTAATCATCCGTCATACACGAACACTTGCCTGGTGAAGGCTTTGGGTGGGGGTGGGGTGAGAGAGAGGGGGGGGGGGGGGGGGGTATGACTCCACGTCTGATGAAGAGGAGGGAGGGGAGGATGCTGAGCGAGATCGCTGCCTCTCCAGACAGCAGGATGAAGTGAACAGTCTGCGCGTTGTTCGCTGCTCTGGACGCTACTGGGATGTGTTTTGGATGAAAAGGGGGGGGGCGGCTCGGGAAGCAGGGACCCCCACCAGCATCACCGCCACCAACTGAGCCTGACATGAATGACAAGTGAAAAAAGAAAGAAGCCTCGCTGAAAGGGACTCGGCAGCGTCGGAATTCGCTTCGCTCAACGACATTTTGGACAATTTGTTTTATTTTTGTCACCCTACCTCAGTGAGAATTCACGCGCTCACATCAAACGGAGAGGAGCACGAGGGCTCTTTGAAGCGCTTTCATCCACCGCCGCCTCAGTTTGAGCGAGGAGTTGTCGGTGCGGTGCTTTTTATATTTATATCATTCTTTTGTTAAGACAAACTTCTCCCACCATGGCACTGGTTATGGAGCCTGTGAGCAAGTGGAGCCCGGGTCAAGTGGTCGACTGGATGAAAGGTGGGTTTTTACAGCTTCACACAAATATCTGACACAACTGTTGTGCTGGAATGAGTGACCGTCAACTCAAAATGATGCCAACAAAGAAAACCAAAAATGAACAAAACACCTGCTGAGCCTCGGATTTTTCAGCTTCAAGTTCGTTCAATCGATTTTCTCCCCCACAAAAGATCAGAATTTAGAGTCCAGCTGTTTAAAAGCCATTGTGTGCTGTGGGTTTCATTGTTAACGCAGGGCTGCTTCACTGGAGGCAGAGAAACAGTAAATTAAATGAGCGCTGGGGTCAGAATCTGCGTTTAGTACAAAGAATACAACAGTTGTAAGCTCATATGTGCTCAGAATGAAATAAAATTAGCAATCAGAGCTGTGTACTTCAAGAGCTTTATGCCATCTGTGCCAAATGTTCATCCACAGATGTTCCCAAAGTCTCCAAGAAGTCACGGCTGACTTGAAAGAGGGTCCTGGTTGTATAGCTCATAATGATAATTTGCATATCATCAAAATGGAAAAGTTCTGGCAGGATAATTTTGCTGGAGTTCACAGGTTCAGGTTGGTTTCGAAGCCGTTTTTCCACAAAAGAGAGAGTGATGTTTGAACTAACGTGAGCTGTCATCACTTGAGGACTGCAAACGCTGGGATTAATTTGTCATCCAGCTGCTTTTGGTAGTTGTGTCAGATTAGTGTTTCCTTTCATGCAAACATCTGTAAATGCCTCCAAACAGCTGTGATGGGATTTTACATCCTCAGCCCACATGGCAACACACCGACCGACTCCTCATTCGCTTTGCTTATTTTTTGTCAGTTTGCATCGCAAAGTTATAACCGCAAGCTTACAAGGCAGGAGCAAGAGAGATGTTAATCTTGGAAGGAAGAAGTGGATCTGTCTTTTTGTATTTGTTGTATTTTCGCTGTAATTGTGTTGTTCTGCAGGGCTGCTGGCTCACGCGTCAGGCCGCAGGCCTCCACATGAAACCTCCACATCCATACGTCTGCACTGGCTCACAACGTAGACACACAGCGTTCATCTGCAGGGGTTTGGACAAGCATCAGATTTCCTTTAATATTAGTCTGAATCCACCAAACTACAATAGTAAATAATAAGGACTGCACAGAAAGAGATGATAATTGAAGTCAAACTGTAGAAAATATAAAAAGTTGACAGGGACTGTCCAAAAAAATCTGTCGTTAACTGTCTTCTGTGAAGCCCATTGTAACTTGGGACTTAATGTTCTAATAATCTAAGATTAAATGCCCACATTATGATGTATAAACTACTAATAAGTTAATGTTAAAGCATTACCATCACTATGGGAACCACACGTCTGTGTTTCTAAGAAAACTCGACATGCAGATGGAAACACGGAGTAGAAATGAAACGTCAAGCGAACGGTTACTGTGCAAACACGATAAGAATACGTGGCAGAAGCGTCTGGTCATAACACAAGTCAAGTTTTACGTCTACAGTGTTTTATGAAGGAGGCGTGCCAAGTTGAAAAGACCCTTCGGTTCCAGTTTGAAGGGAAAAGTCTGCAGTTTCAGTGGAAGTCAATGAGGGTGGACGCTCTCTGCACTCGGAGGATTTGAGAATAAAACACAACCTGTTGCATTGGAAGTAGAGCTGTCGTTGCTAACCTGGACCCGCGCCTGGCCCGACCCAAATTCGGGCCGGCTGGTCCAAAATAGATGGGCGGGCCGGGTCAGTGTCGGGCTTTTGATTGCGTCAACAGAAGCGAGCGGCCGACGATCCAATTTGGTCACCAGCAGCCACTCGCGGCCGTTTGACCGCCTGTTTGACCGCCTGGTTAAAAGAGGTACAGAAAAGTCCAGATGGATGACCGCCGGTGACCCACCTGAAGCTTAACTGGACCTAGCGTGGTTGACGACTGTTAATAACTATAATAACTATAATAATCCGCTGACTCTTGTTAATAAACAAAAAATCTTATATCTTCCTATCTTTGAAATGCGTTTTTAAGTCACGTCAAACTGATTTGCTTACAAACGCAGTAAAAGCTTAATGAAAAAGAAGACGTTTTGTTGCAGGTTCAGTGTAATCACAGTTAATTGGTCGGTTTTGGGTCGGGCTCGGAAAAAAATGATACGGGTTTGTTCCGGGCCGGGTCCGATTTTTTAGACCCGAATGCAACTCTAATTTGGAGAGGCACAAGAATACCGGTATGTGTAAAAACTCCAACAAGTCTAATGTTTGAAGGACTAAGAAGAGTTTGGAAAGCTGAGAAAACTCAAAGTGTGTGTCATCTCACATAAAAAAAATATATATATAACTATAATAACAACGTAGAACTTTCTGTTTAAACCAGTCTGGATGATATTTCGATTGTGAGGATGGATTTTCTCACTGGTTTTGTCAAAATCCCACTATATGGAAAACATTTTTCTGTTTGTTGTACGATGCACTGCCTCCAAAACTTATAGCACCGTATCCCCTATCAGGCTGCGTGTTTTACAGACTTTATATGTTTTTCTGAAGGAGGAGCAAATCAAAAGTCACGATCAAAGATGAACAGTGGCTTCAGCGCTTGTGCACTGGCATCTTTAGTGAAATCTAAAATGGTTTGTAAAGTTACTGTCCCTGTACGAGAGAGCGTATTAGAAAGAAGGAAGTAAAGCTCGAATCTACGAGCGGTCTCCGCGGTGTCCCACATCTGACAACCGGAGCAGAGATGCTCTTGAGCCCAGTAATGGTAATTTAAAGTGAGGGACAAAAGTGGCACAGAGCGACACCGAGGCAGAAGAAAAAGAGGAAGGAGGGGGATGGGGGGGTTAACTCTTGTGTCATATCTACCCAGAAGCCTTGCAGTATTCTGACTCACTCATTCATATGCTCCTTTATTACCATCCTGAACCGTCAGCGCACGGAGGCCGAAGAGGGGAACCCCGCCACCTTCTCACAGTCCCACTCGGACACCTCTGGTTTTGTGTGAGCGAGACTTTTCGTTCCCAGCTGCAACAAAGCTGTTTAAACAGGAGGCTCATCTCTAAAGAGAAAAGAATTCCAGCTTCGCCTGGAAATTTGTTCTTTGGAAACCCAAGTGAACAGAGCAAACACGTGTGACTTTGCAAGGGTATACGCCTCTGTTAACTGGATGTCTTGAGCTACAGACCTAAAGCAAAACAAGTGCAGAACATTTACTACATTTTGTTTCCGCTGGTAATGTTTAAAAAGAATATTATCTTTCTGTACCCTTTGAAATCACGCACACTGGCACGAGCAATGACAGCTCAGATTATCATGCAACTTTCACATCATACAGCCTTGGATAGCTGTCTCTACATTAAAGTGGATTATCTTTAATAGACATAAGTACACATTAGCGATAAGGATGCACAATATTGGATTTTTGCTCGATATGCTGATATGTTAAAACTATTTGGCCAGTAATCGATACCAATACCAATATTTTTTACTAGACCTACTCACAGAGATTACATAGCTTTCTCTGCTGTAGAATTAAAATACTACATTATTCTGCAGGATCTTTGTCAGTTTGGCTTACTACCAAATATAGATGCCAAAAAGGGGGCTGAAAATGATGCAACACTATATAAATATATATATATATATATATATATATAAAGTGCCTTTTATATCGGTGCGTTATTTTGATGGAATTTTTGATATTTAACTTTATCACTAATATTGGCTGATACCAATACCGTGCCGATAATATCGTGCATCCCTAGTTAGCAATGCGCTTTTACATATAATTCCTCTTCTGGGTGCCTGATAATCTGAAACGATCAGGAAAAGTCGTGTAACAGAAATCACTTAGTGTTATCAGGGAATTACAGCAAATACAGGGGGAAAACGGGAAAGAAAAACATCACACTTAAGCACATTTAAACTAGTTTTATATTGTTTTAGTCAGTGTCCCTTCCAGCAACATGCTGAAAATGCAGTGAAGTTGCACTTAAAATGTGAAAAATATGTTTGTTATGTAAAACATTTTCCATGTGGCTACGTTTGATAAAATATTTCAAGCATCTAACCATGATTTATTTCCTCATTTAACTTGAGGTCAGGGAGAATGTCTGCAGAAACGGCCTGTTTGTGGTTTCTTTGGAGACATGCTTCACTGACACGAAGCGTTTCTGTTAACTCGATAAAGAGACTGATTAGTTAAGTCTTTAAGTGTTGCACAAAACCACGGAGCTCCCGGTGTTTCCTCCCAGACATTCAGCTGCCAGCTCAGCCTGAAGAGAACGTTGGATCAGGTTTAGTCTCCAGAGTCCCGTGTGAGCGATTCGTCCGCTGCGATAAAAAGACAAGATGAGGACAGAGTGGTCGGTGTGAGTGAATGTGTGTGAGAGAAAGAGGCCGAGAAAAAAGATAGGGACAGGAAATGAGGAATGTTGCTGGATTTATACAGTCAGCCGCACAAAAGTTTGTTTCAGCTGTTTAAATTACAGCCTTTGAGCATGCAGGAGCGCTTTCTGCCTAAATAATCTTATAGTTTCAACACGCAACGCTTAGCCTGAGCGTAAACAAAACTGAGCCAAATAAGTTGTTTAGTTAAAGTGATAGTTCAGATCTTTTGAAGTTGCGTTCTGCGGAAGAGTTATGAATAAATAATCTGTTGCAGATGGCTTTCTGTCTGAACAACCTTAGTTTAGGACAAAAGAGCTAATTTCTCACCAGATTGATGAGCTAACGTCAAGAACAAACAGGATTGTTGCTTTTTTTTCTTTACCATAAAGCAACATCAGTCTTAAAACAAATTCTCACTGACACAATGAAACTTTACATCATCGTGTTTTTTTACATGTACAGTATATAGTTAGTGACATACGTACATTTCTGTGGTTATTTACAAATGCAAATAGTGACAGCTTGAGCTAGCTGTAGCACTTCCTGTGCAGCCTGGCCAACATTTAGCAGAAATAAGGAAATACTGGACACCATACAGGAACGTGCAACTTGAAGCAAGGCCGGTTGGTTCAGTGGTGTAGTCTACATTTGTGTAGTGGGTATACTGTGCTTAGAAACCAAAGTACACAGATTAGTACAATGTAATCGTCAATTTATTTGGATTTTTAAGCAAATTGAACATTTCCAAATTTCTATGATGCTTATATTTGAATAAATGTACAACAAACTTTGTAGAAGTTGGCTTTGTATTAAAAACATGTTATATCATTTATAAAACAGTATCAAAGCAAAACATGTTCAAGTATTAAGTAGTAAGTACAGAATTATACAATAATTCGCTGGATAAGCGAATGTAATAAACAAGCGCTGCATACAGAGACAGATAGTTACAGAGGTGTTTAGCTGTCGTTTAACCTATCAATGACATGTGCCCAGTGATATGTCATGTGCCACTGGGCACTTTTAAGTGAGTATACTGAAATTCTTAAGCTTTTATAATGAGTATACTCCGTATGCCCGCGCATCGTGTAGTCAACACCATTGGGTAAGTTCCTTCTGTTCGAGGCTGATTCTGTGACTGTGTTTTCATGCACATGCATTTATGTATGTAACCTGTCCTGAATGGGTAAACGCTGGTTAAAAATCTTTTTTTATTTTAAATAAACAACGTTAGTAAATGAGATAATTTTTCCCACACCCATCCACAACTTCTGATATGATCAAGATAATTTAACAAAACTTCAAACGCATATGCATCATCAATACACTTTTCATCATCCCAGCTCCAAGGTCAAGGGAAAAAAAATCAAGGTCAAAGTTAAAAACAAGGTCTTTGCTTGACCCACCCATAACTTCTGATCTGCTCAAAATAATGGAATTAAACTTGATATGCATTGTCACTAGACAAGTGGCGTACACTTTTCATCACTTTCAAGGTCAAGGTCAAATGTTATACAAGGTCTTTGCTTGTTCGGCCCATTGCTAAGGATTGCTGTATAATAGTTTCTTGACAAGCATATATTGTGTCGTATGTGGTACTCTTGTATTTAATGTTGTTGATCCATATAGTGCTTGTTTTGCTGCTGTATGTTCAAATATTCATTTTTCTCCTATGTTTAACTATAATTAATTATTGTATGATAAAAAAAAAGCTAATATAACGTCATGATTGTGTGCAGGGGAGTAGGCGGGGCCTAAAGCCCACATTGTTAGTGAGCTGATTCTGATTACCAAAATACTGCATGGCAGCTTCCATAAGCAGGGTCCTGGTGGTCTCAGTTCTCAACAACGAGAGAGTACGGGGACATTTGGTGTAGTGTTTTGATTGAACGTCATTACATTTTTGACAGAGGAACCGTGTAAACAAAATGTTTGGTGCTGTAAAGGGTTAGGAAATAGTGCTTGATTAAATCACTTTAAAACTTTTGAGATTCAAGTTGTTTTAAGATGAAAGCCTTTGAAACCTTGCTTCCGGCCCCATTAAGACTAGCTGTGGTCACGGTCTGTGTCCTTTCTGTGATTGTGTTTTCGTTGCGTTTCCAGTTTCTCCAGTGTTTCTCTCCTCATGCAGTTCAGCTCCTGTCCCTCCCACTCGCACCTGATCCTCATTGTCTTTCTCCAGGTGTTTGTCATTATCTGGCTTGAGAGTCTCTTTAAATACAATGCCATTTTGATTGTCCCTCGTCTGTGAATTACGCGTCACAAGCCATACAAGTTTATTACCTTTCCAGTCTATTAGTGCTTTTTTCCATTGCAAGTATTTTTGCTGCCCTTTGTTGTAGTTTTTTGTGAATACATTAGTTTTGTTATTTTACCTTGGAGTATTTTCAGTTTTTGGTTTTGCATTTGGGTTCCACTATTACCATCAAACATGATAAAATGCACAGACACACAGGGAATCAGACCAAAGATGTTGAAGTATTTTTCCCTAGAGGCAGAAATAAAAGCCATGAGAGAGAAAGGGGAAGAGGAGCAGAGATCACCATACTGACACCTGGTAACTAAACAGACCTCCTCAACCAGAAGGTTCTCTGGAAGCCTTTGGTTCTTACCTGTGCTCCAACCTCCTCTAGCTCTTAGACCACTTCCTGTGAGCAGTGGGATTTTCGCTGCACTGCCCCCAGCCCTAACTCACCTGGAGATATCGGATACATGATCATCCTGAGAACCTCTTACCATCTACAAGCAAGGTCTTCACCTGTGACCAGTTGTCCCAGCCCAAGATCCTCACTGTTCCTGAGTTACCCCGGACGTTCAGGAGGATAAGGGAGATGCAAGCTGAGCTACAGCAAAGATTGACTAGCCTGTATACGTTTCTCCACTAGAGGTCCCTAAGCAGTTCTTGCCACAGCCACAGAAGCAGCAGTTCCCGTCTCTGCTGCACTTCCCCAAACCCTCCAAGTTTGCTGCTCCACCTGAGACCCCTGTGATTGTTGCTTCCCCTGACAACTCTGTGTCAGTTGTTGGACCTGAGTCTTAAAGAAGGTGACGTTTCTCCCACCTGTGTCTTTGAGAGGGAACTCTGCTGCAGTCTCACTGATGGCTGAAGTTTCATAGCCAGCTTCCATCTCATCGCCAGCTGCTGCAACGCCCACTGGCTCCTCTGTGGTCCCATCATCCACCGCAGCTCCCTCTGCCACAGTGTCTCTCCTCAGCCTCTTAACGAGGGAGTCCAGTGGGATGCCTCTTACTGGCCTTGCTAAACGGGCCATCCGCCAGAACTTGTGCGGTGCTCTGGATGGTCTCTTGGCTGCCCTCCTGAACTCTGCCTTCTGTGTGGACATGACCATGGTTGTTCATTTTATTTTTCATGTTGGACTGTTTAAGTTTTCCCAGAGTTTATCGCTGTTAGTTTTTTGGTTTATGTATTCTTGTGTTTTTCTTTGTGCCCTCCATCCTGTGTTTCTCCCACCAACCTGCAAGAGTTAGGTTTTCTGGGGTTTTGTTTTGATTTTCTGCCCTCCCGAGTTCAGTATTTGTTTTGGGGATGTCAGGGGACATCCTTTAGGGTCTATTAGTTTGTCACTTAAAGACCTTTGGAGTCTGCTTTTTCCATCGTGAGTATTTTTGCTACCACGTCAGCCTTTTGTTGTAGTTTCTTTTTGCTAATAAATTAATTTAGTCATTTTACCTTTGAGTTTTTGCATTCGAGTTCCACTATTTTTGCCTAACATGATAGCTAGCTGGAAGCTCTTCAGTCAGAATTATTTTGTCAAAGCAAGGCCATTTGAAGAGCTATCTGCAACAGGTGAGATATTAATGATTCTTTCAAAGAACCCAACCTCAAAAGATTTGAACTGTCCCTTTAAATTGTCATTCATGCAGGAAAATATCTCAAGAACTCTTTACTTTTTGTAGCAGAAGTCTTCAAAGAAAAAACTCCATAATTAAAAATCGGATTTAAGAAAAGGAGATGTAGCGACAGTCCCGTCCACATTTATACAGAATAAAGCAGTTAGCTCGTTTTTTTTTTAAAATGTTTTTCTCGTTTAATTTATCAAACCATTAAGTGCACTTGATTGCAAAAATTTCACATTGTTAGAGCAGTCCAAGCTCATTAAACTTGCCGTCTGCGTGAGCACACAAAGTGTCTCATTATCAGCTGTTTTACTGACTTTAAAGCCAAACTGACTTTTAATTCATATTTTATTTGTGATGCTGTAGCCTTAGATTTTGTCTTTGTCTGACTTATTAAATAATCTGCACCCATATGTAAATTTCAAGTGTAAACCCTAAAGCCACTGTTGAAAGCTGGTGGTTCTGTATGTTTTAGTCTGCTTCTTTGCATCAACTATTTTTTTCAAAGGACTTCACACCTGCCGCAGTGATAAAATATGGAAAACAAACAGCACAGACACACAGTCCCGTTTAATTGAAAGCTTCGTTTTTTTTCTAGTTTAAAGTTGAAAATGCAGCTCAGGAATGTTGAGGAGGAGGAACGTGTCACATTTCTGCTCTGACTGTTATCACACTTGAACAGAGCAAAATACAACCTGTGTTCACACATCCAGCAGATTTACAGCTCATAATCTGGCTCACTAAAGCAATGTCAAGCCCTTTTTACAAGGTATTATGCAAATAGAGATTTTACAAGAATAAAAAAAAATGTCAGACACATTTTGTAGACTAAATATTCAACTTGTCAATCTGTGCTGAAAATGTTCCTGTGTTGTTACCTCAGGCCTGGACGACTGCCTGCAGCAGTACATCAAGACCTTTGAGAAGGAGAAAGTAGGGGGCGACCAGCTGCTACGGATCACCCACCAGGAGCTGGAGGACTTGGGGGTGTCCAGAATCGGCCACCAGGAGCTCATACTGGAAGCTGTGGATTTACTCTGTGCACTGGTAAGTCCAGGTCCACCCAGTCCTTTGTACGATTACAGAATGAGGTTCATACAGAACATATTTAAAATCCTCCCAAGCGCTCATTAGAAGCCAGCGTTTGAGTGGGGAAAGTGGTCCAGTTTTATAATTAGGGTCACAAAGGAATTATAGGAATTTATGGAGATTATTTGGAACTGGGAGTCCTTTAAACAAACTATTATATCCTCAAAATTACAGAAACATTTTGTTTTGTCAAAGGCAAAAAGTGAATTTCTCACAAATTTTTTGAAAGTAACAGATTTACTTGATCTCATATTAAGAATAATGAGCTTTTACAGTTCGTTTTTGGTGTTGCAATCTGTTTTAAATTTTTTATGTACAGAGCTTGAAACCAAACGACTCACTTTTTAATGTTTTGTCATTAAATTCACATAAAAATTTAAACAAAACCCAGTAAACTGCAAAGAAAAAGTCACTTAAATGTCTCAATATTTGTACAGAAAATGTCCAGTTTTATTCTCACAACTCTGAACAAAACTATTTACATGTGATTTTATTGTTGTTATGTCTTCTTTTTTTTACAGTAAACAAAATAATTGGTCATTTGCATTTCACAACAAACTACAACTAAGCATTTTACATGTGCCTATTTCCATGTCCCTACACGTCCGAGCGTCATTTGATCATTTTTGTAAGGGTGTAATGCTTCTCTTTTTATAGTATAGCAATGGATTATTATTGTTTTAGACAAGTTTATGCTCAAATATATTTTTCCAACTATTTGTACAATTCTTGCTAAGGGCCAACCTTCAGTATTTTAAATTCCATGTTTTATTCCAGTTTATTCCCAAATATTCTCCTTCATTCCCATAATTTTATTGTTAATTACAATGAAAACTTTCCAACCTTTAAAAATTCGCTTACTTATAATTCACGTCAGTGGTTTACAGGTGACTCTCTAAACGTAACACCGGGGTGCGCCCACAGATTTTCAGTAGACGTGGGTGGAGATGCAAGGTTGTGAACGACTTCCTTCATGTTACAGAAACACGGTTTGAGTTCTTTTGTGAATTTATTAGTTTGTGTTTTTATCTTTTGTTTTTTACGTTGGTTGTTTCTTGTGTTTGTTTTTACGTTTCTGTCTGTTTAGGGTTTTAGATCTTTTGTTTTCTGTTTAGCCTGGCTAAACAGATGTTTTCATAGACAGTTTTCTTCAGTACCTACTGTAATCATCCCAGCTGCTCCCACTTACTAATCATCCTGCCCAGTGGTTATACCCAGATGTTTGTTGTGTGTAGTCATCGGGTCATTGCGTTTTATTATTCTAAGTGGTTTGGTTTGTTTCAGGCTTTTGGTTTTGGTTCTGACTGGCATGCAGATTAATTTTTAATAAACACCAGAGAAATTTGCCCACCAGCCTGCTGCCACATACTTCCCTGCCATCCTGGGTGCACGACAATCACCAACTCTTCACACATTTTCACTGACTGGAATATCTCGTACTGAAGATCTGAAACTGACAGCACATATTTGAAAAATAGAGACTGATGTGTTAAAGTGAATGAAATATCAACTTCTCAGACCTACACATTAATTCACCACAAGCTTCCGTTTGTAGCTGTTTTTCCTGTAAAGAAATGTTTCAAAAAATGTGCTAAATGTATGCAGATGATTCTGTCATGTTAACTTAAGACTCCACAACAAGTCAGAGAACTACTGAGTAGTTTTGGGATTCCTAATTGAAATTAAAGGCTCATTAGAAAAGGAACAAGAACTTTTAAATCTACTTTTACCTGCTTTGGTCTTAAACGCTCATGCTTACTTGGAGTGGCAGCCAAGATGTATATGCATTCTATGTTTCAGTTTTTTAAGTTTCAAGTTTGGTTTTGAAAGCAGATAAAAAGTTGCTTGGATGAACCTTTTGATACTTTCATAAAATATGGACTGTAATGGTGATTGTTTGGATTCCCTCTGTGATTTGAGCTCTGTGGCCTGGGAACAGTTAGGAGCATGCTGTTTTCAGAGCAGGAGGTGTATGTAGTGATGCACTTAGGCACAAAGCCATTTAAAGGTCAGTTGTCAGATTTGAACCCTCCTGCTGCCTTTGGGCCAAAAGGATCTACGAGGCCTCACTTTTATGCTTCGTGGTTCATTTTGGCTGTTACCTGGGTAAAGTACTTTAAAGCAACCAAGATGAGAATGGACAAAAGGAATTACTGTATTTTCCGCTGTACACGTCACACCGCCTTATAAGTCACATCAGTCCAAATATGTCTAAAAAAGTGGAAAATCCATAAATATGTCAATTTGCCGTATACGTTGCATCTATTGTGTGTCACCGCTGACACGTTGCGTTTGTTACGCATCACCCGGAAATGTGGGCCGAACCCGGAAATGTGGGCCGGTGTTGTGCCAAAAATTGATTGACTGCCAAATGGTGGCCGCAGGAGCGTGCACAGGAAGATTTTAACAAGATTAACACTTAAAAACAATTATTTGTTTGCTCGAAATTATATTAAATGTGTGTCTCAGTTTAACTTTTACTTAATAAATGCGCTTCGATGGTCAAATTAGCTGCATTTCGCCGGGGCGGCGCAGCAAAATGAAGCTGATTTGATGTCGGTTGCTCCTGACAAGCTGGACGAAGGTGGCAGGCTGTGGCAAGCCGATTGTGTCATTAATAACCACTTTTTACATGACACAACGGCATGCCATACTACTGGAGTTTCATCTAGCGGCTGAAAATGGTTGTGTTCAATATTTTCAGTCAGAATGAATGAAAACGGTCAAATCTCAGCCAAAAATTGGCTTATAAATATGGAAAAAAAAAATCCATAAATACGTCGCTTCAGCGTATAAGTCGCAGAGCATGTCAATTATGCAACAAACGCAATTTATATAGCGGAAAAATATGGTACCTGATACTTTTAGATTACCCTAAGCTGTAAGAAGCACAACTTAACAGCATGAAAACTGAGATCAGATAAAATGTATGTCTTTAATAACACTTGGATTTCCATCAGCTTTGAACTGAACGTGGCTCCAGTTCTGTATTTTATCACTCAGAGCACTGAGGTTAAACATGATGTCACTACTGGTAATGGTAAAGGATTTAATCTGTCAAACTGGACTAAATGTGCTGCTTTTGGTGCAAAAAAACGGTGGACAGGGCTGCTTTAGACTCCAGTTTTCAAATGTCACTTGCGATCTACTAATCTGCCCCAAATATGGTCTCCAGGCAGGCCGATCTTACATGTCATTAGTGCTGATTTGAATTAATGCCTCGTCTTGAAGCAGCTCTTTCTGCTTGGTGTATGCTTCAGCTCTGCTGTGCTGGTTCGTCTCGTATGCTACAAGTATGAACATATTATTATTCAGCCTGTAACACTAAGTCCATGTGCAGTGATCTGTGTTAGCTTGTGATTAATGGTGGTGGGATCACAACAGATTGGGAAACATCATGTTAGTTTTCTGTTCGTGCTGCTAATGGCAGTATAAATTAATGCAGTCAGTTTAGGCTGGGTGCAAAAACAAGACATCTGTTTGTCATATGAAAAACTTAAATATGTGAAATAAAGTTAACTAGAGAAAAGGTTGTGAACTGTTAATATCTTACCTGTTGTAAATTGGTCTTTTTGTGCATTAGCATTTTATGTCTGTCTGTTTTCATAAAGCCACTCTGAAGAGTAAAACTTAAGAAGGTTACTTAAAAGGGACAGTCTGGTGATTTTTTAAGTTATGTTCTGTCAAATTGCTATGAATAATTAGTGCGTTATCAGCCATGACATCAGTTACAGAAGGGGCAAAATCCTTCCTCCATAGGCTGATTGCTAATCAAACTGTGACCTGCTTTAAAAATAAATAGTTTTTCAGGCTGTTTCTCAAAAAAGATCATGCAGGTGTGAAATAATGCTACGTTAGCTAATAAACTTTTAAACAGTTGCATGATAGTAGCTATGTTTACATGGACACATAAGTAATCGGATTAAACTGCCATTCAGAATAAAATTGTGTCATGTAAACCCCTCATTCGGATTGATTCAGCTCGATCCGAATGAATTTGTAATCTGAATAGCTATGTTTACATGCGCAAAATTCTTTGACCGGATTGAAATGGTTTCAGATTAAATAATTCGAATGTATCGTTTACATGGGCACAATCCGTTCACGATGAGCATTTACACGCAGCGGGCTTTTATTCTGAACAGAAGTACTGACATGCGCAGAGTGGTAATCTCTCCTTGAAAAAAACACAGAAGAAGAAGTTCTACTTCCGGGGTGAACGTAAACAAACCTGAGCACCCAAAATGGACCCGCGACAGGTTTTAATGATGGTGGAGACGTTACTGCACTCCCTGACTGAGCTAAAGGTAATACAGATCATTTTGAGCTCTTTCAAAGTTTCTAGTAGAAATGTTGTGTCACTTATTGACCAGTTTTGCTTCCCCGACATGCTAATATTATTAGCATTCGCCAGGCAGAAATGACAGGTTGCACATGCGCAGTCAGGTCAGTTTTCCACCATCGGAATAAAATGAACAGATTAAGTGTTTACATGCACATCGTTCGGATTATGAATCTGCATAAACCACCTGTCTCATTCTGATTATAAATTATTTTGGATCGAGCTTAATCAACAAAAAATAATCCGAATGAGGCGTTTACATCACACATCGTTATTCCGAATGACCGTTTAATCCGATTACTTATGTCCATGTAAACATACAGCTACTGAGAGGGGTGGTTTATGCCAATTCATAATCCAAACGCTGTGCATGTAAATGCTTAATCTGATCATTTTCTTTCGATTGTGGAAAACTGAACTGACTGCATGTGTGACCTATGTCTACCTCACGTATTTCCGCCTGGTGCTAATATGTCAGGGAAGCAAAACTGGTTGGTGAACAACACAACATTTCTACTAGAACTTTGAAAGAGCTCAACATTATCTGTATTACCTGTGGCTCAATCTGGGAGTGCAGCAACGTCTCCACCCTCATTAAAACCTGGCGCATTTCCACTTTGGGTGCTCAGATTTGTTTATGTTCATCACGGAAGTAGAACTTCTGTGTTTTTTTAAGGAGAGTTTACCACTCTGCGCATGTCAGTACTTTTATTCTGAATAAAAGTCTGCTGTATGTAAACGCTCGTCATGATTGGATTGTGCCCATGTAAAGGATACATTTGGATTATTTTTATCTGAATACTTTTCAATCCGATCAAAGAATTTAGCGCATGTAAACATAGATACTGTCATTGTTTTAGTGTGTGGCTGTTTTTTCCACTGAATAACGTTATTGTTATTACGGTAATGTCAGTTAGCCTGCTGAATGTATCAGTCCGACATGAAGGTTTGGATATTTATAAGTTCTTTCAAAACTGGATGACTTTTTGAGAAGGAATTTTAAAAACCGGAAAAAATTATATAATAAAGGTCCTGGTTTGGCTAGTCCAGGAGTCTGCATCCTGTGGGTTTGGGGCCACATCGATGGATGGATGGATGGATGGATGGATGGATGGATGGATGGATGGAT